CATGTCATCCATCTTCGTTAGCTTTTGTGAGACAAACTGCATTGTGAATTAACTTTCTGTATCTTAAACCTACTCGACTTACTACTACTTGTGTGGTGGGAGTCACAATGCAAAAAACATCTCCCCAAATTACCCCCTAAAGAAGCCCTGAGTGCCTACTTAGGGGTTTTATCAGAGTGACATGAACCACTAGGCCTGGTTGGGAGGCATTTTGATAGGGCAGAAAGAACATGTTGTCATGGACCAGGGTTCAGATGCTGGCTTTGCCACTAACTGTGTATCCTCTGATGAGGAGCTTAACTCCTCAATACCTGTGTTTTACTTATGTGCGAAATGAGGATTCTAACCCTTGCCGCCCAGGACTCAGGTAAGGATTAAAAGATTACAACTGGATGCTGCCCTGAGCAGAGGAAACATCATTCCCACCTTGGAAGGAAGGCCCATGTTGCTGGGACATGGGCAGGGATGCCGCCCAGGATGCTGCACAAGTACATCAAAGCCATCAGTGGGGCGAGTGATGCGCTCACAGGAACATCCCCGTCATGTCCTCTCTCCAGCGTCCAGAAACGTAGTCACTACCAGGCAGTGAATTTAATGGTTCGGGATCTCTTCTTCTCTTTGTAGGATACAACTGATGCAGTATGTCATCTATGGAATTGCGTCCTTTTTCTTCTTGTATGGGATCATTCTGTTGGCAGAAGGCTTTTACACCACAAGTGCAGTGAAAGAACTGCACGGTGAGTTTAAAACAACCGCCTGTGGCCGATGCATCAGTGGAATGGTGAGTGTGAACCTCTGATAACTGATTGTTTGATGTACAACCAGAGCCATGCCTTGATGTATTTCCTTGTATTTGGCAAAAGCTACCAGGTATCGAGCATGGATGGAGGGTCCATGACACAAATACTGGCCTTACCAATTTAGAGTTAGGACTATAAAAACTTGCAACATGTTACTGATAGCAAATTAAAATCTATGGCTGGTAGAAATAAATCAAATGTTCTCATCAGTGTAAAGGTGAAAAGGGTGCTGAAGATTTTTCAAATGCCAAGTTCCCACTATAGAAGGAGATAACTTTCATGTGGTCTCAGTGCTTCCCTTTGGTTGTCTTTAAATATGGATCATGGCCATAAAGACATACATGGACTATGGAAAATCATCCTGATCCTTCTGTAAATACTTACCAGCACCTGCTGTACAGAGCGCCTATCTGGGCTTTGCTAGCCACTAGAGATGCAAAGATTCAAACACAGCCTTCTTTCTCAAGCAGCTTATAGTCTAAGACAGGGGTTAGCAACTATGGACTGTGGGCAAAATTTGGTGTACTACCTGTTTTTGTATAGCTCAGGACTAAGATTTCTTTTTTGAGATAGAGTATCACTTTGTCTCCAAGGGCAGTGTCACGATCTCCACTAACTGCAACCTCTGCCTCCTGGGTTCAAGCGATTCTCCTGTCTCAGCCTCCCGAGCAGCTGGGATTACAGGCGCCCGCCACCACCACCTGGCTAATTTTTGTATTTTTAGTAGAGAAAGGGTTTCGCCATGTTGGTCAGGCTGGTCTTGAACTCTTGACCTCAGGTGATCCACCCGCCTCAGCCTCCAAAGTGTTGGGATTATAGGCGTGAGCCATCATGCTCAGTCAAGAATTTTTTTTTTTTTTTTTTTTGAGACAGGGTCTTGCTCTGTCACCTGGGCTGGAGTGCAGTGGTGTGATCATGACTCACTGCAACCTCTCACTGCAACCTCTGCCTCCCGGGCTGAAGCAATCCTCCAGTCTCAGCCTCCCGAGTAGCTGGGACTATAGGTGCAGTCCATCACACTCAGCTAATTTTGTATCTTTTGTAGAGACAGGGTTTCACCATGTTGCCTAGGCTGGTCTCGAACTCCTGGCTCAAGCTTGGCTTCCCAAAATGTTGAGATTATAGGTGTGAGCCACTGTGCCTGGCCGAGAATGCTTTTTATATCTTTCAGTGGTTAGAAAAAATGAGTATTTCATGATACATGAAAATTATAAGAAAGTCTAGTTTTAATGATCCTAAACAACGTTTGATTGGCACATAGCCATGCCTATTCATTTGCACATTAGCTATGGCTGCCTTCATGCTACAAAGCATGAAGCAGATTGGACCAGTTGCCACAGAGACCACACAGTTTTCTATCTGGCTCTTTACAGTAAGATAGCATTTGCTGACCTCTGGTCTAGAGGATGACAGATCTTAATGGGTCATTAAAAAACAGGGTTAAAAAGTGCTTCATCACAAAAGAAAATGGTCCTTTTCCAAGAGGAAAAGGCTTTCCATTGAGAGCCTAGGAGGGGAGGAGGGGAGAAGTATTTATGGAGTTTGATTTTTGGCACATGGAATTTTAGTTTCTAAATGGAATTGGCAGCCTGGTGCCGTGGCTCACGCCTGTAATCCCATCTCTTTGGGAGGCCTAGGCGGGTGGATCACCTGAGTTCAGGAGTTCGAAACCAGCCTGGTCAACATGGCGAAACCCCATCTCTACTAAAAATACAGAAATTAGCCAGGCATGGTAGCGCATGCCTGTAGTCCCAGGAATGTGGGAGGCTGAGGCAGGAGAATCACTTGAATCTGGAGATGGAGGCTATGAATGAATGTAACAGTTTTTCCAAGGACAGCAGGGCTGCAAGAAGGGGACTGCAATGTGGGAAACTCTCCTTTGGAGTCCACAGGCCTGGCCACATCACAGGGGCCTGTTCCTCAGCTCCTCCCCAGTTCCTCCCCAGCCCCTCCCCAGCCCGGACTGTCCTTTTTGCTCTCTCACATCAGCCGTGGGCCCAACTCCACAGTCTGCATTCCACACCACACCTGCCCCTTCCAGGAGAAGCAGCACCCCCAGGAAGTAGTTGAGCAGAACATCATCAGCTGCATGGATCCAGATGCCAATCTTTAGGTTTGTCCGGAATGACCATTTGTGGGACTTCAGAATGGTCCAGCCGGGCTTAAGCTCACATGCCCACCTACCCCTCTCAAGGACAGATAATAGTCTTGACAGATAGTATCATTTGATGTGATTTCAGAAAACCATGTTCTGAAAAGAAACTACCTACAAGGATGAAACCCATCACTCAATTGCTGAATGATTTAGTTCTTTACCAGTTTGGACCTCCCCAATCCCAAATAGGACCCTCATTTCACATTGGTTTTTTAAGATTCAGTTCATAGAACAAAGGAGTAAATTAATTTATGAGTTTCTGAGTAAATCATATTTCAAAAAAGCTGTTAAAAAATACAAAGAAGAGACTACTGTACAAGTCAGGGGAATGGTTACTTTTGTGGAGGAAGGAGGCAGCTGTTAAATAAAATGCCTGTGAAGAACAGAGGGAAAATAGCCACAAATAGTGGGAATCCTCCTCCAAAGGAAAAAAAGAAAAAACACCTCCTCACAGCTTTAAAAATGACAGCTTTCCCCCTCACTTCTACCCATCAAGTTTCAGAAATAAAGAGGTCTAGTTTCCACAGGGCACAGCATTAAGTCATCCACTGCCTGATGTTTAACATTTTTGGATCCTTTTGAGCATTGGTCGGGACACAGCACATGGTGGAGAGGAGAGGAGCTTCTACTTGAGCCAGTGGCACTTCACCTAGAGATGGGGACACCATGAGGGATTCCCAACCCACCTAGCATGGCCTGCTTTTAGCTCTTACGTCAGATTTTTTTTTGAGAAAGTCCTGTGAACCCAAAAGTATCTGAAACAGGTATCAGCCCATTTAGAAAGTTTATTTTGCCAAAGTTAAGGATGTGCCCATGACACAGCCTCAGGAGGTCCGGACAGCATGGGCCCAACGTGGTCGGGGCACAGCTTGGTTTTATACATTTTAGGGAGACGTGAGACATTAATCAATAAATGTAAGATGTACATTGGTTTGTCCAGAAAGGTGGGGACAACTCGAAGCAGGGAGGGGGCTTCCAGGTCACAAGTAGGTGAGAGACAAATGGTTGCATTCTTTTGGGTTTCTGATCAGCCTTTCATTGAATATACAGTTCATATGGGAGAGGAAGGTAGAGGAATAGTCACTTATGGCTGGTCTGGCTTGTTGAAATGACGGGAGAGGAAGCAGTCAGATATGCATTTGTCTCACATGAGCCTCAGAGGGATGACTTTGAGCTCTGTCTGTCGTTTGTCCATGAGGAATTTCCCTGTGGGCTAATTGTGAGGGAGGTATGTAGCTTTATCTTTGTGCTATCTTGTTTAGGGATAGAATGGGAGGTTTGCCTGTGGCAGTTCCCAGCTTCACTTTTCCCTTTGGCTTAGTGATTTGGGGGTCCAGAGATTTCTTTTGCTTTCATAGTCCTGTGTGGAAGGCTTGTGCCCAGGAACTCACTGAGGAAGCAGCTCTAGACGCTGGAGGCCACCATGACAGGGCCAGCCCGCAGCAGGGCCCTCTGGTGGGGGGATAGTGGCCTTCTGTCTGGAGTCCTGGCCTCTGACAGAAGGGAAGGCTCACTGAAGCCAAGAACCACCAGTTCCCTCCTGCTCAGGTCCTGTTTTCTTGAAGGGAAAGAAACCTAGTTTGGGGCAGCAGTGGGAGGAAGTGGGAGGTGGAACTGCTGAAATCTGCTTCTCTGAATATTTTTGGAGGTGCAAATGCTTCCTTGCAGTGAAAGGGAAAGTGTCTTGTTTCTGCAGTTTCCTGGCATTGTGACCATCAGGAGGTGGCCTCCAACTACCCAGGTATCCCCGGCGGCGCAGAAAGTTAGTGGGGACCATCAGCTTCAAAATAGAAAAGCCAAACTAGCACTCCACACCCTCGCCCACACCCTCTGTGGGCGCGCCTTCTGAGAACACAAATACCACGTTTTTGAGGCCACCTTACAAAGCTCTCTGAAAAGTGGTCAAGGCAGAGGAAAGCCAAGCAACAGGATTCTATTCTTCCTGGAATTGCCCATGACAGTGTGTGGGTGAACACCTGAAGCTTTTTCCCTAGGCCACTGCTTTGCTTGCAAAGCTGCTGTGAATCTTAGAGACAAAAGAAAACTAGAGGAAAATGAGAATTTTATAGATCGTGCATTAAGCTTGCGTTCGCGATTATTTGAAACTTTTGGTAATTTTGCAGAATCAGGAAACTAGCGAAGTTCTTTTTGAGAGAGGGCTTCTTGTGGCAATTGCTATTCTCTGTGAGCCAACCTGTTATGATAAATAAAGGTAACATTTGAGAAACTAATATGAAGTTATAATTCAGTGGTATATGGAATGCATCCAGAATCTATCCCATGTTATGTAGGATGTTCTGCATTTTCAGAACGGATATTTAGAAAGAGTACCTCTTGAGAGGCTGCCATTGATTAGCTCTGTATCCTCGGATGAGTGAGATCACCTCTTGGGGTCTCCTGTCCTTGTTAGTTAAGGGTGACCCGAAAGGCCCTGACATTGCTTCAGGCACTCCAATTCTAGATCTTCTAGCTCTGGGGAATGTGGCTGGCTCTTACTTACCCTGCTCCCTTGTTGGCTCTTCCTTCTTGCTGCCAATGCCGGGGTGAGGGTCCCCACAATGTGTTCCACAGATCAGTATTGGGCCTGAAAATGCACAATCCTTCCACTCAGGGGACACATCTGCCTGTTTCAGTGATGATTGTCCTCCCTCTCATTTTGGCCTAGTTCGTTTTCCTCACCTATGTGCTCGGAGTGGCCTGGCTGGGCGTGTTTGGTTTCTCAGCGGTGCCTGTGTTTATGTTCTACAACATATGGTCAACTTGTGAAGTCATCAAGTCACCACAGACCAACGGGACCACGGGTGTGGAGCAGATCTGTGTGGATATCCGACAATACGGTACCTCCTTCTAATTCACCCCTCCCCCAATTAATTCATTGTCCTCTCATGCATATGTCTGGACCTAATTATTACATGAGCATCCTTTTAATTGTCATGATCTGTTTCATCCCTTCTATCAGTAATTTTATACTTTTCCCTTCAATATGCTGTTTTCTGGGTGGAAACATCAGGGAGGCTTTTAGCTTGCTAGGTGTCAAGATTTCGTTAGGTTTTCGTTTTTGTTTTTTTTTTTTTTTTTTGAGACGGAGTCTTGCTCTGTCACCCAGGCTGGAGTGCAGTGGCCGGATCTCAGCTCACTGCAAGCTCCTCCTCTTGGGTTCACGCCATTCTCCTGCCTCAGCCTCCCGAGTAGCTGGGACTACAGGCACCCGCCACTTCGCCCGGCTAGTTTTTTGTATTTTTTTAGTAGAGACGGGGTTTCACCGTGTTAGCCAGGATGGTCTCGATCTCCTGACCTCATGATCCGCCCGTCTCGGCCTCCCAAAGTGCTGGGATTACAGGCTTGAGCCACCGCGCCCGGCCTGGTTTTCATGTTAAGTGTGTAGTAAAAGAAGCTTTTCATAATATGAAACTACTTTATAATGCAGTTCAATCAAAAAAGACTTCTGGACCTCCACTATAAAAAGATTATATTTTTTCTTTATTTTCAGTTTTATAACATCCAACTTTCCATTCAAAATAATATTGCACACATTGTATAATTCAATTAATTTGCACATCCAACTCCTCAAATCTGGTCTTTTTAAAATGACTAACTGCTTAAACTTCATCTGTACTGAAAAAGACGACGTTAGATCCAGACATATTTTAAAGTCATCAGAACATACTCTTTAAAAAATCATCGTCAGCTGTTGGAAACCAGTTCAAACATTTTCTAATGAGTGAGATCCTTACAATAGGGATCTAAGGTTGGTTCATTGTGACAAGCCCCAGAAGAGACCACTGGCTCCTCCTGTCAATTAATTTGGGACTTGACTTTGCTGCTGAGTAAGAGAGGGCAGCATCCTAAGGGAGGAGTCTAATTACTGCTTCCAGCCACGATGGTAGTAAATCTTTTCTTGGCAGAAACAACCAGGGGGTGGGGGGAAAAGCTTTCATCAGAATTCAAGAGGAAATAACTGTCCTTCCAGAGCTTTTCTGAAGAGAGATGACTATTTCATTTCTGCTATTTTTCTCATGTGGCTTAGTCTCAACATCTTACCTTACAACATAATACTACATTTGCTTGAAACTACCCATCAGACTAATCTCTTCTCACAATGACCAAGGCTAAACAACACTGTTCTTTATGAGAGAGCTAAAAGCGGAGCCTAAAGTTGGCTGTTAAAGTATTTGTAAATGAATATCTAAATGTCTATCATTCCCCTATTCCTTAAAAATGTTTTGCCACAAATTTTTGGTAATCAGCAATCATCTTTTTAAATCCTCTATATTTGCCTATTTATTGTTATAGTTAATGGTTTCACTGACAATTTGGGGCAATTTCCCATGCTTCTGAGGTATAAAGATGTACTCTTGGCCCGTATCAAGGATGAAAGGAATAAGGACTTTTCTTCTTCTAACACTCCTTACCTCCTAGGAGTGTTTAAGCACAAACTTATGCATTAGAAGGGGAAGAAAGCAGCAGCCCACTGGACAATTGTCATTGCAGAGGAGCCTCAGGGTTACAGTGAGAGAGAAATCATAGACTCTGCTTGTCCCACCCTCTAGGGTAAAGGACAGTAGTGTTTTTCTTTTTAAAAAATTTCCAGCCACACGCGGTGGCTCACACCTGTAATCCCAGCACTTTGGGAGGCTTAGGCGGGTGGATCACGAGGTCAGGAGTTCAAGACCAGCCTGGCCAAGATGGTGAAACCCCGTCTCTACTAAAAACACAAAAATTAGCCAGGCATGGTGGCAGGCACCTGTAATCCCAGCTACTCGGGAGGCTGAGGCAGAGAATCGCTTGAACCCAGGAGGTGGAGGCTGCAGTGAGCCAAGATCACGGGAGTCCACTCCAGCCTGGGTGACAGAGCAAGACTCTGTCTCCAAAAAAAAAAAAAAATTCCAATTTGATTTTCAATCCAAAAGTATTTTCTAATATATTTATAAGACATAATAAAAATGAATATAAAAACAAAGACAAAGTACAAATCCAGAGTTTATTGGATTCCCACAAACATAAATTACTCTGTCAAATTGTAATTTGTTTCCGAGTGTATACTTGCAGTTTTGGAACTCCTGGCAGACCACTAACAGCTTGGACAGCAAGGCCACAGACCACAACATTCATGAGGAAATGTATTTTGACCTCAATGTGATAAAATGCTTTACGAGGGGGTTGTCCTGCAGTAACTATAGGGAAAGTCTGGCTTTGAAAATTAATCTTTACAAATATGAACTTCCAAATATGAACCCTCACTGAATAAAGCACAATTTGTAGGGGAAAAAAATATCAGGCTGTTTAGATTTCTTACGGACTAGTTGGCTTTGCTTTTGGCCTATTGTTCAAATGGGGCTATTTATTCCAAAATGCTTGTTCTGCAGACAGCAGATCCATCAATTCTTAATGAAGGAACATAGCCTACAATTACACTGTAACTGGCATCCAAAGTGGTGGGGTCTATTAAGAACATGAGGCACTGTAGTTTGTACTAACATCCTATTGGGGTTCATTTTACAGGTATCATTCCTTGGAATGCTTTCCCGGGAAAAATATGCGGCTCTGCCCTGGAGAACATCTGCAACACAAACGAGGTAAACTCATCACAGTTCAGAGGGCTCGTAAGAATAACCCTTGAATATTAGGCTGAGACAAGGGTTCTCCTAGCTATAGAAAGAGCGAGAGAGATGGTTAAAATGCTATTAAGGAAAGCTCCTTGTTTAGACTCTTTAAGATTGAGCTATATGTAACCATCACTATTCAGCCATTTTTGACCTACAAAAATGGTCACTTCATATGGTCCAACCCATTTGGTGAGAATCCTTAAGAAGTGGAGAGCTTTTCCTTTGGGCAATAATTTAGAGGTGAACCCAAACCTACAAACCTAATAATATATCTAGATTCTTCTCTCACCTCTTCAGAAAGATTTTCAAAGTGGAACACCTGTCACAGAACACATGTAAGTTAATTTTCATAGAGGAGTCCCTCTGTTTCGTAGAGGAATTTGTGTATATGCCCAATTTTTAATAAATGAGGCCACAGTTATTTCTGGAATGACTTGGCTACTTCTCTATTTCTCATTCATTCTTAATAGGGAGTGTGTCCTAACACTTTGGTTTAAATTGTCTCAGCCCTAGAACATTCTTCGGTCATTGGCTTGTAACTGTTTATAAATGCATTCGTAGGTGCTTGTATATTTAAGAAAATCCTGGCAAGCTTTTAAAAAGCAGTGAGTTACAGAAATAATCAGCTCCTACCCTGTCCAACTTGTCAATTTGTATATCTATAATATGCAGTGGCTTGAAGCAGGGGCTCCCCACCTTGGCTGCACCTTTCAGCCATCAAGACAGCACTATGTTATACTGATGGCTGAGGCCCAGCCCCTAGGTATTCAGATTTAATTGATTTGGGGGGCAGTCTGGGCATCAGAAAGTTTTTAAAGCTCCTCAGGTGACTCCACCATGAGGCCAGAGCATGAAGAGAAGGCAGGCCTGTGCCCAGTCTTGCAGAGAATAGCTGCAAAGGAGACAGATGAAGCAGCACCCCAGAATGAGTGTAGGCCATTTCATTACACATCAAATGCTTATGTTGGTGCCCTGTTCTTTTGTAGTTCTACATGTCCTATCACCTGTTCATTGTGGCCTGTGCAGGAGCTGGTGCCACCGTCATTGCCCTGGTGAGTAATGGCCCCAAGACCACCCTAGTCTAGCCTCCTCCCTCTAGCCTCTAAATGACAGATTTCCCTTCCAGCTTTTACCAGCCTATTGAAGCCAATGATTCTGGCACTCAACCTTGGTTAACTGGCGCCTGTGTAACTTACCACATGTAGTTTGCAGGAAGTATTAGTTGGCTGCCTTGGCACCAATTGTAGGTGATGTAATTTGGACTCTGGAAAGAAAAGAGGGTATCAACACCTATCAGCTAGACCAAGCATATTACCTTGTTGCACTGAGCACTTAGCTTCATGACTTCAGTCACACACAAATGAAATGCTCACATGAGGCATTACCCATTTCTCTTTGCCAAGGATTAATTTACAAGTGGAAATATGCACATATATATACATTTATATAGTTACTGTCATACACAGTAGCTATGTTCCATAAAGTCACCTCAAGCACTGAATTAGCAAATGCTGGACCACTGCTCCTAGGGGAAATACATGGCTAGGTTTCTGTGAGCCTCTGGTCACATCATTTTCATCAACCTATCAACACATAAGCTTGTTTTGTGTGTGTCTGTGTAAATACACCTTAATATATATTGTTGATTAATATTGAATTCATGGCCAATAGCACTATCCTTATTCCTGAATGAAGCTTCTCTAATGAACATTTTCTCTGGTCAGGCAGTTTGCAATCTTCTTGCGCTTAGGGACTCTAGACAGCACTATGCTTGGGAGCCATTTTAAGCAGCAAAATCACCCACAAAAAAATGTTAAAAATGTGGCACTAAATATATTTCGAGTATACTTATTTACAGTCTGAGAGCTGAAACAAGAAGGCAGCGTGTTGCCTTGTTCAACCTCAGTTAGGAACGTGCATACTGGGCAACTCAACTTTCACCGCTCTGCACATGTCTGCTAATAACTGCAAAAGAAGTGCCTCAAGTATTAAGGGTTACAAATGAATCTTAGCAAGTAGGCAGTCACAAATATGGAATCTACAAGTAGTGAAAACCAACTGTATAAACACACGCTCTTATGTATGTATATGTTTGTACACATGTAATTTTGGAGGGCTTGGTTTGTGATTTGAGGAAAACCAACTAAGACTGGTAGAGCAAGGGGAAAATCTCAGCTGCTTGTAAATTAGTCATTCCCAGTTTTTCTGACCATTAAATCATTCCTTCCCCTTAGAGTCTATGAAAAAAAACCACCTGTAAAATCATGGGGGTGACCTGTTCTTTTGGTTGAGCAACAGGTAGGAAAGATAACTGCCTGCTGCTGAGCAGATGGTTTTGGAAAGATGAGGGGATTAAGGCATTTAGCTTCATCCTTCTCATGCTGTTGACCCAGCTCTCTGTCTTGTTATTCTTCAAACACATCCAAGTACTTTTAATAAACTTAGGGAAGAACCAATGACTTACATTGTACATATGTGATGAGAAAAAGTTTGTGTGTGCTAGATAGGAAAATTGTCTCTTGTGATTTTAAGTGGGGAAAAAAAAGAAACACCTTAGACTATGAGCAGGCACCCATCCCCACCCAAGTTTAGAAGTGTCATGGCATTGGCCCTCACTGCCTGTATCTTACTGTCCTGTTTTGTTCTCTTCCACCAGCTGATCTACATGATGGCTACTACATATAACTATGCGGTTTTGAAGTTTAAGAGTCGGGAAGATTGCTGCACTAAATTCTAAATTGCATAAGGAGTTTTAGAGAGCTATGCTCTGTAGCATGAAATATTACTGACACTCCAGACTAAAGCAGAGTCTAGGTTTCTGCAGTTTTGTTACAGTAATTTGTAAATAGCTTTAGTAAACTCATCTTGCATGGTAGATTAATAAGATGACTTACTGTACATGAATTACACAATAATGAGATCTGGCTATTTCCACATTTTGAAAAGGATTCAGTTATTTACTGACACTGGTGAGCATCCTCTTTAAAATAATGTTCTCATACTTAAACTTTAGAGAGCAATATCTTTAAATGAAGTATTAACACTTTGGAATAGTAACATTTTCTGTTATTTTTGATTGCTTGATAACCAGTTTCAATGATGAAAATGAAAACAAGTGCTGAAGATGAAATGGATTTAATCTGGATTTTGTTTTGTCACACCTTCTGGAAAATACTTTGCAAATACGTTCTAAATTTAAAACAATTTTTTTATGATCACATGGTTCACTACTAAATGACCCTCAAATAAGCCAGATGAAAATTTGAAGAAAAAGGTCACCCAGTTCTCTGAAAAAAAGGATTTATATGTGGATATTTTTCCCCCCCAACAACACAATCATTCCTTTAGAGCCCACAAAATTGGTAACCTTAAATTGTGTGTTTTGGTAAGTAATAACTGTTTCCTCATAGCTAGTTCTCAAGCTGCATGTAAGATTTTAACGGGAAGAGAAACTAGGCCTGGACCTGAAGGTCTCAAATATGTTGAGAAGGAAGTATGAACTATAAGGAACTTGAGATGTAGATTTATTTTGCAGGAAATACAAGGAAAATAGGAAAGAAGTGTTTGCCGCATCAAGTGTAAAGAATGATACTGAGGATTTTTGCATTTTATGAAATGAAATGGCATTTACAAAATGAAAAGTGTAGTTTCACAACTAAATTTTGTTAACAGAGAGACTGCATGCTTTGCTTATAGTTCTTAATTTTGGTTTTGACATTCACTTAATTTTTTCCATGTTAAATATGTAGTTTAATTATTTACTCAAAATAAACATTGTTCATGCTTTTAGGCCTTTGGGGGAATTGATTTATCTACAGGTAGAAAATGTCTTTGCACACACTACACTTATTTCAACTATACAATGTGCTCCCGAACTTCCGCATCAACTTTAAAATTACTCTCAAAATGGTTAAAAAACAAAAACAAAAACACCCTCTTGTATTTCATTTTTGCTTTTTCTTAACAATACCTTTGGCCATTTTTTTCCAGTTCACTATGTTTGTGTACTAACTTTTCTTCAGCCTTTTAATGCGAAGCCAACTAGTAGAGCATGCTTTCAGGATTTGACAGCTCTGCTAGTAGAGCGAGTATTAATACAGAATAACCTTCGCCCCCTTTAAAGTCAAGTCCGTCTAATCTAACTAGCGCCTCGCTTTGCCTTCTCACATGCTCACTAGCCATCATGCTCACCCTTCTCTTCCAGATCCACTTCCTCATGATACTGTCTTCTAACTGGGCTTACTTAAAGGATGCGAGCAAAATGCAGGCTTACCAGGATATCAAAGCAAAGGAAGAACAGGAACTGCAAGATATCCAGTCTCGGTCAAAAGAACAACTCAATTCTTACACATAAATATTTGCCAGAGTGTTTCGACCGACGTATTTACAGCTCTGACAAATCATCAGACAGCTGCTCTGCAGTACAGATGTGTATCCCACCAAACTAATGTAGATGTACAAACACTTCACTGTCTGTCTCAAGCTGCTGGGATGTATCTCTAGGAAAACCTTCCAGTGGGTAAATCTTTTTCTTTAGAACAAATATTGGAGGTTTCATGTTAGCCATTTTAAAAGGCAACACTTTGGGAATCTGTGGTGGCATGTTCACATTTATTGCTAGGGCAATTCTACCAAGACACTAATGGAATATGTCACACCCCTTGATAGGGACCTGTGACATGCCAGCATCAAGGGGTAACACCATAAATTCATATATATGCCATCTGTCCTCAAATAAGTGTTATCTACATAGGAAATAAAATGGAATTGATGTAAAGTTCCATTTCTGACAGCTGACATTTATTAAGCTTTGGATCAAAGATAATGTGATTCTTATGACTGACTTTTCAAATTAGCTTTTCCCTCCCAAGTCCAGGACCCTTTAATTTCCTGAGTCAATCAGAAATATATTTTTCAATAATGCTAAAATTAGCTACAATTCTGCTGACCCTACTATTAAACAATCTGGATTCTGGACTCATTGACAAGCTTTCCAGAAGCAATTTTGTAACAGATTTCATGTTAACAAAATACTGATTCAATTTTCATTATTCTTGGGAAATGTCAGCTCTGCCTTAATGAGTATTTGCTTTAAATTTCTAAGAATTTATATCATAACTAGAGACCCAAATATCTTTCACAGAATTTTGTTCCATAAATGTTTTTAATTAAGAAGTGTTACCTTATTAAAATGACCACCATTCTAAACCATTTTTCAGTGGTCTGGATACTAAGTTTACAGTTTCATACCAACTATCTAAAACCTAATTGCAAATTGACCACAGACCTCTAACCTCCTGCTTTTACAGACTTGAATACTTAAGTAATTTAAATTAGGGTTGGTATTACATTTTTTCTTATCTAAATCTTAGTTTCCTGGAATAAAGTTTGATGTTCAGCAAGAAAACTGCTTGAGTTTAAGCCATTTTCAAAAGAAACTTGCCTTCTACATTATTGTGTTCCAGAACATTAAGTGACTGTAGGTACTGGGTATTAGTGATGGTAAACTTTGTGTTGTTCTTTATGAAATGATTCATATTAACTGTTGGGTGCATCAGTGCTTTTCAAAGGGGCTGCTTACTATAGGGTTAACTATGTATATTCATTGTTAAGAGTTAACTTGTGGTTTGGCTGTTTCCTGGATTTTATAACATATACATGTGCAGAAATGTATTCAAATGAAAGGAAGCATACCTTTATTAAGATGCTATTAAAATTGAACATCAAGTATAATATTTCATTTGGATTCTTTTTTTGGTTAATGCCTAAAAATGCCTATTTGGGATTTTTTTTTTTTAATTAAGAGAAGCTCTCTTCTGTGTAGAACAGTTGTTCCAAAATAGCTTAGTGTTTTGTTTTCCTGTTGCATGACAGATTTAACTATTATTTCCAGCAGTGGAGGTGCTGTCAGAGTCCAGTGTTCTAGAAGAGGCAGTGTCTAAAGCCTAATTTTACTTTTCTAATTCTGGTAGCTACTACCAGGAATTTTTGGAAGTTTTGTTTAAGTAGTCTAATATTTTTTATGTAAAGAGCATTAAATTTTGCTATGTATAAATTTTTGTAACCTAACAGTGAATCAATATTTTCTATCAGTGCCAAGGGCTTCCTGTAGTTCTATTCAAGTGTTACAATAAATATTTGTAGATAATAGTCGATACTTGTGTATGCTTATTTTAAATATCTATTTAGGTGGAAATAGTTGTGGATGTACTAAGAGTAATGAAATAAAATTATAGCTTCATTCACTTGCCTTTTTACCATACATAAATCCTATCTTTGTCCTCAGTATGGTGTCACTTTTGAATAATGTGCATAGTCAAGATTTCACATTGGTATGGAAATCAAGTCTGTGAGTGCTACTTGGTTTATTTCTGGCAAAAATCTTTTCAGCAATTTAAGAAAATATTATATAATCCACTGGGCTGTATTGGGCATAAAAGTGCCACTAGTACTTCTGTAGTTCTCTGTGTAAAGTAAGAATTTTTCTGAGTAGTTTTTCAACAAATAAATGCCATCTACCTATAGGATCAACGAGGCTTAAACTTGGGCAAAGTAGAAACAAAATAAGAGCATGTGTGTAGTTATTTTTCAAACCAAAGGTACAAAAGTCTATTGATTTATTCTGGAATATAAAAAAACCTAGTTCTAACGGTTGACTCTCTAGAGTAGCAGAGCTAAATACGTTACTTAGGATTTTATTTTATAATCTGTTTAAACTCTTATCTGTCAACATGATTATGCATTTGGATTCTGTGCATCTGACCTTTCTTAGTGAGGCCCAGCCTGTGTCACTGTTGACACATGGCCATTCCTAAATGAGGTGCTGACTCTAGCTCATCACCCTTTGTTCACGTATGGCAGGAGAACAATCAGGAGCTCAATTCGTGTGCTATTTGTCATCCTACTTAGTATCTTCTGTTTAAGTGGCATTTTGTGCAATTATTTAAGTCACATGAGTCACCAGAGGAAACTGTAAAATAATGGTTAGATAAAACCACAAGCAGCCTCTTAATTATCCACAGTGATCCTGCCACACAACCTAGGACCCTTTAGAGGATTGAGTAGAGATTTTTTTCCAGTTCTGACTTGTAAAACTTGACCTTTAAGAGATGAAAATGAAGTCAATTATAGGGAAGGAGCCCATTCATTTAAAAACAAACGAAATACTTGAAGCCCATTCATTAAGTATGAGGACCAAAGATTCCATAATAAAGATGCTATCTCAGTCTGTTCCTGCCACTATAACAAAATAACTTAGACTGGGTGACTTATAAAGACCAGAAATGTGTTTCTTACCGTTTGAAGCTGGGAAGTCCAAGATCAAGGCACTGGCAGGTTGGATGTCTGGTGAAGGCCCGGTCTCTGCTTCCAAGATGGTGCCTTGTTGCTGTGTTCTCCAGAGGGGACCAATGCAGTGTCTTCAAATGGTGGAAGGGCAAAAGGGCCTCACTAGTTCCATTGAGCCCTTTTATAAGGTCACTAATCCCACTCTTAGTCACCTGTGAAAGGTGCCACCTCTTAATTCTATCACACTGGGGGGGTTTAAATTCCAACATATGAATTTTGGAGGGACACATACATTCAAACCACAGATGTCAAAAGTAAAGACCAGAGGCAATATCTATTTCTAATGCCTAGAAAAATCTGTTTTTATGTTCAGGGACAAAACAGGAGTATGCTGAGAAAAATAACCTGTTTTACAGGTAGCAGCCCAACTTTGGAGAGAAAAGAACACAGCTTAAACTTCCAAAATGTAGGCCTGGAGTTGACCAATAAGA